GGATGACCTGCTACACGTTCTAAGATTTGATCGATGAATGGAAGTGGAAAATGGTCTTTACGAGTGGCTGCGTTAAGCTTACAAAAGTTGATACACATGCGCCAACCAGTCACGACCTTTGTGGGAACTAGAGCCCCTTTCTCATTTTCCACCACGGTAACCCTCAATTTCTTTGGCACTACATGGGTTAGACTAACCCACTTGCTATCAGCAACAGGATAAATGATGCCCACATCTAATTGCTTGAGAACCTCATTCTTCACCACTTCCTTCATTGTTGGATTCAATCTTCTTTGAGGATCTCTTCGGGGGTTAGCTCCTTCTTCTAAATAAATATGATGGGAGCAAATTAAAGGACTGATTCCTTAAATGTCAGCAATTGTCCAACCCAATGTAGATATATGCTTTCACAGTATGTTGATTAACCGCTGCTCTTGTGACGCATCGAGTTTGGAAGAAATGATAATAGGAAAGGTATCGCCAACTCCCAAAAATGCATGCTTCAATCCTTCAGGTAGTTGAGCAAGTTTGACTGTAGGGGTTTCCTCGATGGAAGGCTTTGGTTTCTCTCTCCTTTGCGGAAGTTCCTTGAAACATAGTTGCTTAAACTTAATTCCTCTGTCTTTGAGTTGTTGAAAATTGCAGACAAGTGAGCCAACTCAACAGAACCAAAATTTTTAGAGTCAGAATTTTGGAGGAGGTTTTCAAGATCTTCATATTTGCTTTGCAGCTAAACCTCTTCCTCGGCAAGTGTGTCGATCATGAATGTTTTGTGACACTCGTCATCATCTTGTGGTTGTTTTATAATGTTGAAAACATTTACCTCAAGAGTCATGTTCCCAAAAGAGATCTTCATTAGACCATTTCTACAATTAATTAGGGCATTTGCTGTCACAAGGAATGGTCTTCCAAGGATGATCGGGATTTTTGACTCTACATCAACCACTGACTGAGTGTCCAAAACAACGAAATCCACGGGATAGTAGAACTTATCAATTTGTAATAACACATCTTTAACTATTCCACATGGTTTCTTGATGGATCGATCCGCCAATTACAGTACTACAGGTGTCTGCTTAATCTCTCTAAGACCAAGTTACGAGTTAACTGAATAAGACATGAGGTTTACACTCGCTCCAAGATCCAGCAATGCTTGGCCGAATTCGCGTGTCCCAATGGTGCAAGAAATGGTGGGACAGCCAGGATCTTTGTACTTCAGCGGTGTCTTCTGCTCAATCACCGCGCTCACTTGTTCTGTCAAGAATGCAGTTTTCTTGACATGGTGTTTTCTCTTTATGGTGCACAGATCCTTGATGACCTTGGTGTAGGCTAGCACTTGCTTGATCATATGTAGTAAGGGAAGATTAATCTTTAATTGTGTCAAGTGCTCCAGGATCTCACTTTAATTTTCCGGCACTTTCTCAGCTGGTCAGAGAGCTTGGGGGAAAGGCACTTTTACCGGAATTTTTGTTGGCTCTTCTTTCTCCTGAGTCGATTCTTCATTACTCGAAGTATTTGTACTTGTCGATGGCGTGTCTAAATTCTTACCACTTTGAGTAGAGATGGCTTTAACTTCCTTGATATTTTGACCTTCAGAGTTGAAAGTTTGAGCCATATGTTGTCCTCACAAATTGGACTAGGCTTGTGATGGAAATTTGTCGTGCTCCTGAACGGTTAAAGCTTATGTCAGCTTTGTGATCTGACTTTTTATTTCCTTGTTCTCTTCCACCAGCTGCAAGAGCATTGAATCAACCCTTTGATTCGTCTTATTTTGCGCATCCATAAAAGCTTTTAGGGTATCCTCTAGAGAATTTCCTTTCGGCTGCATGTTATTCTGAGGCGCAAAATACGTCCTTGGTGGTTGAGATTGTTACTCTGATCTCCATTGCCCTCCAGATGATTGTGCATGTTGGTTTGGATCTCTCCAACTGAAGTTTGGGTGGTGTTTCCAACTAGGATTGTAAGTTTCTAAGAAAGGTCCATAAGGCCTCTTGTATGTGCCTAATGCATTGCACTGCTCCTCGTATACCCCTCTTATTTCACTTAAAGTGTGGCAATCCTGAGCTAGATGGCCCTCTCCACCACAAACGAAACAGGGCTCATGTGCCTCTGTCCTTGCCACCATGTAGGGTCCGTTACTATCTTTACTTTTGAGGGCCTCGATTTGCTTCGTCAAAGCTTCAACTTGGGCCTTGAGGCTGTCATCTTCCCTTAATTGATAAACTCCAACTGGCCGGGACCTACTGGTGCTCCTAGTAGCACTCGGTCCAGTCCAAATATGAGCTTTCTCAGCTAACTCATTGAGGTACTCGATAGCTTCTCAGGATCCTTTTGGAGAAAATCCCCATTGCACATCATCTCAACAAATTGGCACTCTCGGATTGTGAGCCCATAGTAGAAATAGCTTACGAGGCCCCAACTTTCATATCCATGGTGGGGACACAGATTTAACAGATCTTTAAAATGCTCCCAAGCTTGATACAGAGTTTCATTTTCCTTCTGAGCAAAATTTGAGATCTATCGTTTCAAATTGTTGGTCTTATGGTGTGAGAAATACTTGTTAAAGAATGTCGTTGTCATTTCTTCCCACGTACCAATAGACTTGGGCCTAAGAGAATACAGCTAGCTTTTGGCCTTGTCCTTAGAGAGAAAGGGAAAAACTTCAATCTAACGGTGTTTGTAGCCCCAGCACGGCTGTGAAAGGTGGCCACCACCTCTTCAAACTCCCGGATGTGTACATATGGGTTCTCGTTCTCTAACCCGTGAAAAGTTGGGAGAAGTGCAATCATGCCTGGCTAGGCGGTGCATTTTGTGGGAACATGATGCAAGATGGGGTGGCCATGCACGTTGGGTGTAGGTAATCTTGCAACATCCTCTACTGAACTTCCTCGTGTTGTGCCATTGCAAATAGATTTTGAAGTGCGAATTCCAACGATGAGTGTGAAGACGGAGTCATAGAAGATGAGTCGGATAGAATTTCACTAGGGGTTTCTAAGTCTGGACGTTGAGCAAATCTCCCTAGTTTGTCTCTATATCGATGCATTCACCCTAAGCGGCCTTTTTTTAATTTTTAATTTTTTTTAATTTTTAATCAAAACAAAAGAAAATAATTATATAGTAACGTGAATTGTAACCATCGAGAGTGCTCCCAAGAAAGACTATAGCTCTTGGCTCAATGAATAGTCTCCTAGACAGAGCAATGTTTCTAGGAAAGATTGGTGGGGCGAGGCCCACTTAAGTACCAACTTTCCTAGACAGAACTCCCTCAATTGTACTTTCCGCATAACCACACAATTATTCACAAAATCAATTATTAAATTTTATTGAATAGATTATGAAATGAAATCTAATTAATGTAAACTATTCCTAAAGTCAAAAGCCTAAATCTACCAAATTATGAAATTCTTAAATTAGGAATTTAAATTAGTCAACTAATTACGACCTAATCACAATCCTAAAAATTAATAAAGACTTAAAAGGAAAAATTAAATTAGGCAACAATATAATAGTCAACAATTAAAATATACAAATGAGGAAACAAAATAAAATCTCAATTTATCAAAAATAAAAGATTACAAAATCAAATCACAATCAATTTTAAAACTAAAAGGGAAAATAAAATTAGCAATAAAAATAAATCTTAAAAGTGTGAGTTTGTTTTTTTAGCAACAAAACTACGGAAATGAAAAAAAAAAAAAAACTGAAAAAGGTAAATGCTAATTTAAGGTAAAACTGACCCTTTTTTTTTTGTTTTGAACAAGAGACGTTAGGAAAAAAAAGCGTAGCAACTATAACTTAATGAATAAAGAACACGGCAGCTGACTTTTTTTTTTTTTTGAAATAAGAAACGACAAGAAAAAAAAATGAAGCAAAAACGTTGAAACAAATTAAACTACTAATCTACGACAGAACGTTAACTAAAGGCTAGACAAAGACTAATAATTAAAAATAAGAAACTAACACAGCTTAATAGCAAAGAAAATAATAATTAAAAAAAAATGTATACTTACCTCTTTGCTCAAAAAATCTACTGATCAACCTTGTTAGTAACACCTCCCCGGCAACGGCGCTAAAATTTGATTAACGCTCAAAAATGATGTTCACAAGCGGTCAATTGTAGCACAGAAGGGCAGTCGTATCCACAGAGAATTAACAAAATAAACAAGAAAGATTAGCAAAATAAGAGCGTTAGAAAAAAATAAATAACAAGAAAATTAATGAAAAAGAAGAGTTTTTGTAGACTTTGTTGCAAATAAAAACGAGATAATATTTGTGTGAAAGCAGTTCAATAGTAAAAAGGGTAAAGGTCGAGAATCCCTAATGTTTCGTTTACCAATTCAAGTTTTGATTCACAAAATAAAATAATCGAATAAATTAAATCTCTATGTTGACTTCGAAAATATTATCATTACAAGTTATCCAAAATCGACAATATATCCATTTGATAATATTGCAGTAAAAGACAATTTATAAAATAATTTGAATAACAAAACAATGCATGACAGAATTACATAAGAAAAGTGTAACATCCCAATTTTTAGACTTAAACTTTTGTGCAATTTTGTATGAAGGAATTGTAAGAGAAATGATAAAAGAGTTTAAGGATTAAATTGCAAGGCTTTAGGGGGCATGATTGAAATAATTTTCATAGTTGGGGGCCATATTGCAATATTAAGAAAAAAGAAAAAAAAAAGAAAAAAAGAAAACACATCCAGCTATCCACTCACGTCCCTCTCTCCCCCCCCCCCCCCGCCGGGGGGGGGGGGGGGGGGGGGTGGCTACACTCTCTCATTCTCCCTCTCCCTCTCCCTCTGCGTTTTTATCTTTCCCTTGATTCAATCTCCATCTTCCACAAAGGGCTACAGCAACTCTTTGAAGTGAAGAGGTGGTTTGAGCTAGGATTCAAGGTAAGGGTTTATTTGGGGAAAAATCTTTGAATGGCTGGGTGTTTGGTTGGGAGTTATTGATTGAATTATGTTTTGACTCTAGCTTGAGGAGGAGAAAGATTCAACTCAGCCCAGAATTGAAGAGGAATTGGATTTTGAGAAGAATTTGGTGAGTTAAATGTATACTTTGTTTATAATTTTGAGCAGTCCCTATTTGATCAAATTCTGGGTTTTGTGTAAATGAATCTTGGAGGATGATTTATATATTTGAGGAATAGACATTTCATACTTTAAATGGAAACTTGAATCACCCCAAAAGGAGCTTTGTAGTTTAAGTTGTAAACTTTTGAATATAAAAAAAAACTGTCAAATGTACTTGCTGGACAGAATCTGTTCTTTCGGTTCTGGGAGTATTTGATGAGGAATTTTAAAAGAAGGTTTACATAATTGGTAACTAGACATCGTAAGCTTCGTATAGCCACTGGAATCACCTTAAACGGATAACCGTAGCCTAAAATGTACATTTTTAAAGTTAGGCTTAGTGGCTGGTTTTCTGCAGAAAAACTAGCAAAAATTTGATCTGATTTATCATATTTTTGGAGACTTAAACGGACCCAAAACTAAGCTTGTGATACCTCTTTAGAAAGCCCTGGATGTGTACTTCATTTGGGTTCTAATTTTGTAATTTTTGAGGCTACATAGAATACTTTGTGAATATTCTTGTAGCAATCGTACAAGTGCAAATTCCAGAAATTAATAAAATAAAGAATTGAGGTACCTATTTTTTGAAATGGGAGTACTGCACTTAAACTACCTTTACCACCATTTAGAACAGGTTATTAATGATGTGTGAGAGTTGAAACCACCTCATTTGGAGTTTTGTAGCTCAAGTTGTGCGCATAGGAAGTTTCATATAGAAACTTTCTAAAAACTGTCAAAAACGGAAAAAATAGAATTGTGATTTCATGAAAACTGTTTTTAAGGTACTTAGAGATGTCGGATTGAGACATATAATAGTTCGTTGGAAAGATATATATGTCTACTTTGTTTTGAAGTTAATTTTGGAATTTTTAAAGAGAAAAAGAATATCTTATGAATTTTCTTCTAAAGATGGATGAATCAATGAAATTCCAGTTTCAGGGGAATGTGATTATGAATTAGAAATTGATTTATGACTGAGCTATTGAGCTCTAATAATGGTGGCCAATTTGTTTTATTTTGAATAGTGGAAAGGAAAACGAACAAGGGAAACGAAGAGGGTTAAACTCAGATTTTGCGAAGCAACTCAGGTAAGTAGAGTTTGATTTCTCTACAGCACTTACAAACTTTGTTTGATAGACTTTTTATGGAATGTCTAGTATGCCGTTATGTGAATTTTTATGACATTGTCAATGTGTATGTGAAGGCATGCTTATGTTAATATATTGTGTACAAAGTAGAGCATCACGTGGAATATTAGATTACTTGTGATTAAGCACATAATAGCATGCATGTTAGGCCGGTACTGCCAAGTCCTCAAAGGACTTCTATTGTGATATGGTGATTGATAAAATTGTGATTGAGCCGCGCAAGTCTCTCGAACCAAGTGGGTGATGACAGAGACTATATTGTGATATTGAGAAATTGTGACTTTGAATGCGCTGGCCGTTCCCTTGAACTAGGTGGGTGATGACGGGGAACCTGATATTGTGATTTGAGATATTGGCATGTGGCCAGATTGTGAAAAGCCGGCGGCAGTACCGGGAGGGCCCTAGTGATATGTAGTACACGTGCATAAAGTGTAAGAATTGATTGTCATAAGTTACCTAAGATGCTGTGATGCATATGTATGTTAAAGTAAAATTGTGTAATTATAGCTCTACTTACTGAGCTTAAAGCTCATTAAAGTTTGCTCTGTGCTATAGGAAAATGTAACAACAAAGCAGAACAGTAGGCAGGGGAGCTGGCTTCGTTGACCGCTGTACATATGGTTGGACCAAAGAAGCTGTACACAGATTATTTTGGATTTGTAAACATATATATTTTGGAGTTAAACACATAAACCTTGGATGACTGTATATTTTTAATTGTGGCTAGAAAACTTGATAGGAATGGTGTATTAATGAAATTTTATTTTAGCAAAAAATTTGAAACACCATAGTTTTTACATAAGACACAGGTGAAGGTTAGTGATTGTGGCGCGTCCTTAGAATTAATAGTATGAAAATAAGGCTATGAAGGAGATACTATAAGAGGGTTGTCACAAAAAGCGTGATTGAACTTATATAAAAATTGGCACACAATATTTTAAAAAGTGAAAGAAAAATAGATAAGATTTAATTCATTCGGATGTTGAAGTTTACAGCACAAGGAATCAAAAGCCCGAATTGGGTCACTAACAAAAGTTCAACTCTAATATCACCAAGAGAACTCTAGCCTAGCTTGCAAAATATTCTGATATGTTTTACATTCTAAAATTAATGCATGATTTTTAGGAATTAATGCAATAAGCGGCACCATTTTTTGATGAATATTCTCCTTTTTATGATTTTTCGTATTTTTTGTCTTTGAAAATTAAAATAAACTAAAAATGACGTCAAAGAGTTCTAAACTTTTACAGACACGATCCTTATATTTTTCTGAGCATGCTTACAAAAAAATGGGCTCGAATTATGAAAAAAAGCCAATGCTACCGAAAGCACCCGGCCCGCGCAGTGGGGCATCCAGGTGCCATGATGAGTCAAATATTGACATTCTTATTTATGTTTTACATTCTAAAATTAATACTCGATTTCTAGAAATTAATGCAACAAACGACACTATTTTTTTGATGAATATTCTATTTTTGATGATTTTCTGTATTTATTGTCTTCAAAAATTAAAATAAAGTAAAAACAACGTGCAAAAGTTTAAAATTTTGCACACACTATCCTTACATTTTTCTAAGCATGCATGCAAAAAATGGCCCCGAATTATGAAAAAAGTAAACGGCGCCAAGAAGCACCCAGCCCACGCAATGGATCGCCCAGGGTCCGAGATCGGTCAAAAATTAAAATTTTTATCTATGTTTTACATTCCAAAATTAATATACGATTTTTATGAATTAATGCAACAAGCGAAATCATTTTTTTGATGAATATTCTATTTTTTATGATTTTTTCTATTTTTCGTATTTCAAAAATAAAATAAAATAAACACGACGTCAAAAAGTTCTAAAATTTTGCAGACACGATCCTTGCATTTTTTCTGAACATGGCTGCAGAAAATGGCCTCAAATTATGAAAACAGAAAACGCTGCCAAAAAGTGCGCAATAGGGCACCCAGTGGCCAGGATGAGTCAAACATTAACATGTTTATTTATATTTTACATTCTAAAATTAATACATATTTTTAAGAATTAATGCAACAAGCGGTACCATATTTTGATGAATATACTATTTTTTATGATTTTTTTGTATTTTTCACCTTTTAAAATTAAAATAAAAAAAATGAGGTCAAAAAGTTTTAAAATTTTATAGACACGATCCATACATTTTTCTAAGCATGCCTGCAAAAAAATGGCCACAAATTATGAAAATAGCAAACGCTGCCAAAAAGCACCCGGCCCGCAACAAGCGATCTTTATGTTTTACATTCTAAAATTAATACATGATTTTTAGGAATTAATGCAACAAGCGGCACCATTTTTTTATGAATATTCTACTTTTTATGATTTTTCATATTTTTCATCTTTGAAAATTAAAATAAAATAAAAATGACGCAAAAAGTTCTAAAACTTTACACACACAATCCTTACATTTTTCTGAGCGTGCTTGCAAAAAATGGCCTCGAATTACGAAACAATCAAACGCTGCCAAAAAACACCCGGCTCGCGCGGTGGGGCACCCAGGGGCTAGGATTAGTCAATCATTAATATTTTATTTATGTTTTAAATTCTAAAATTAATACATGATTTTTTAGAATTAATGGAATAAGCGGCACCATTTTTTGATGAATATTCTATTTTTTCTGATTTTTCATATTTTTCCTCTTTGAGAATTAAAATAAAATAAAAATGACGTCAAAAGTTTCTAAAATTTTACCTACACGATCCTTACATTTTTCTGAACATGGACGCAAAAAATGGTCTCGGATTATGAAAAAAGAAGACGCTGCCAAGAAACGTGATGTTGGGTGCGCAGTGACAAGGATGAATCAAACATTAACATTTTTCTTTATGTTTTACATTCTAAAACTAGTACATGATTTTTAAGAATTAATACAACAAGCAGCACCATTTTTTTATGAATATTCTATTTTTTATGATTTTTTCTATTTTTTGTATTTCAAAAATAAAATAAAATAAAAACGACATTAAAAAATTTTGAAATTTTGCTGACACGATCCTTACATTTTTCCGGGCATGCGAGCAAAAAATGGCCATGAATTATGGAAAGAAAAACGCTGCCAAAAAGCACCCGGCCTACGTAGTGCGGCACCCCAGGGCCAAGATCAGTCAAACATTAACATTTCTATTTATGTTTTACATTCTAAAATTAATATATGATTTTTATGAATAAATGCAACAAGCGGCGCCATTTTTTGATGAATATTCTATTTTTTATGATTTTTCATATTTTTTGTCTTTGAAAATTAAAATAAAATAAAATCGACGTCAAAGAGTTCTAAAATTTTGCAGAAACGATCCTTGGATTTTTCTGACCGTGCTTGCAAAAAATGGCCTCAAATTATGAAAAAAGTAAACACTTGAAAAAAGCACCTGGCCCACGCAGTGGGTCACCCAGGGGCCGGGACGGGTCGAAATTTAACATTTCTATTTATCTTTTAGATTCTAAAAGTAATACATGATTTTTAGGAATTAATGCAACAAGCGCCACCATTTTTTGGTGAATATTCTATTTTTTTATTATTTTTCATATTTTTTGTCTTTGAAAATTAAAATAAAATAAAATCGACGTAAAAAAGTTATAAAAATTTATGGACACGATCCTTTTATTTTTCTAACCACGCTTGCAAAAAATGGCCTCAAATTATGAAAAAAGCAAACGCTGCCAAAAAGCACCCTGCATGCGCAGGGGGCGCCCAAGGGCTAGGATGAATCAAACAAAAATATTTTTATTTATGTTTTACATTCTAAAATTAATTCATGATTTTTAGGAATTGTCGCAACAAGCGGCACCATTTTTTGATGAATATTCTATTTTTTATGATTTTAAGTATTTTCAGCTTTGGAAATTAAAATAAAATAAGAACGACGACAAAAAGTTTAAAATTTTGTAGACACTGTCCTTGCATTTTTCTGGCCATGCTTGCAAAAAATGGCCTCAAATTGTGAAAAAAGAAAACGCTGACAAAATGCACCTAACCCGCTCAGTGGGACGTCCAAGAGCCAGGATGAGTCAACCATTAACATTTTTACCTATGTTTTACGTTCTAAATATAATATAGGATTTTTGGGAATTAATGCGACAAGCGACACCATTCTTCGATGAATATTCTATTTTTTATGATTTTCTGTATTTTTCGTCTTTGAAAATTAAAATAAAATAAAAATGACGTCAAAAAGTTTAAACAGTTTGCAGAAATGATCCTTACATTTTTCTGAAGATGCCTGGAAAAAGTGGCCTTGAATTATGAAAAAAGCAAACGCTGCAAAAAAGCACCCATACCGTGCAGTGGGGCGCTCATTGGCCGGGATGAGTCAAACATTAACATTTTTGTTTATGTTTTACATTCTAAAATTAATAAATGATTTTGAGGAACTAATGCAACAAGCGGTACCATTTTTTGATGAATATTCTACTTTTTATGATTTTCCATATTTTTCGTGTTTCAAAATTAAAATAAAATAAAAATGACGTCAAAAACTTCTAACATTTTGCAGACATGATCCTTACATTAATCTGAACATGGGTGCAAAAAATGGCCTCGAATTATGAAAAAAGAAAACGTTGCCAGAAAGAGTACAATGGGGCGCGCAGTGACCAGGATGAGTCAAACATTAACATTTTTGTTTATGTTTTACATTCTAAAACTAGTACATGATTTTGAGGAATTAATGCAACAAGCAGTACCATTTTTTGATGAATATTCTATTTTTTATGAGTTTCCTTATTTTTTGCCTTTTAAAATTAAAATAAAATAAAAATGACGTCAAAAAGTTCTAAAATTTTGCAGACACTGTCCTTATATTTTTCTAAACATGGGCGCCAAAAATGGTCTCAAATTAGGAAAAAAGAGAAGCTGCTAAGAAACGAGCAGTGGGGCGTGCAGTGGGGCGCAGTGACCAGGATGAGTCAAACATTAACATTTTTATTTATGTTTTACATTCTAAAATTAATACATGATTTTGAGGAATTAATACAACAAGCGGTACCATTTTTTGATGAATATTCCATTCTTTATGAGTTTCCTTATTTTTTGTCTATAAAATTAAAATAAAATAAAAATGACGTCAAAAAGTTCTAACATTTTGCAGACACGATCCTTACATTAATCTGAACATGGGTGCAAAAAATGGCCTCAAATTATGATAAAAGAAAACGTTGTCAAAAAGCGTGCAGTGGGGCGCGCAGTGACCAGGATGAGTCAAACATTAACATTTTTGTTTATGTTTTACATTCTAAAACTAGTACATGATTTTGAGGAATTAATGCAACAAACGGTACCATTTTTTGATGAATATTCCATTCTTTATGAGTTTCCTTATTTTTTGTCTTTAAAATTAAAATAAAATAAAAATGACGTCAAAAAGTTCTAAAATTTTAACATTAAAATTTTTATTTATGTTTTACATTCTAAAATTAATGCATGATTTTGAGGAATTAATGCAACAAGCGGTATCATTTTTTGATGAATATTCTACTTTTTATGATTTTCCATATTTTTTGTGTTTCAAAATTAAAATAAAATAAAAATGACGTCAAAAAGTTCTAACATTTTGCAGACACGATCCTTATATTAATCTGAACATGGGTGCAAAAAATGTCCTCTAATTATG